GTTTTATTAGAGAACAGGAAACGCAGAGCACACAAAGCTTCCTGCGGCAATCACCTCTGTTCCGGTTTGTGGAGAGGAAGAGGAGGAGGACCGAGGAGCGATATATGAGCAATTGCATCTGCTGCAGGTAATTTGTATACTCCTTTTGAGGGATTGTCCACTCCGGTGAGTGCTGCACTGCCCTGTGGTTTCCACAAGGTGGAGACACTGAGCAGTGGGGTCCAGGTGGTCATACAGGCTGATCTACTCCAAATTGTAACAGTAAATGTAGGTAGGCACCATTTATTTATTTCAAATCTGCCCTTTTCCAGCATGTCACAAATATTTTTGTTTTTTTGATGGGATTCTTCCTTTGTACATTTGTCATTGTCCCCATGAGGTGTCAGCACCCTGGTTCTGAGTCAGGTGTTCGTTTCCATATCAGAGAATAAGTTCTGTGATTAGGGCTCTGTGCACCCCCACAATCCCAGCATGCCTCAGTCTAACGGTTTTACACAGGAAGACTCATCGGCTACTGACTCATATCCAGAACGGCACCATCACAGCTCTCATCTAGCAGCCAGTTGCCTTATTAACCCTTTCAATTGTATAATTGCCTGCAAAATGTTTTCTCTGTTCATTATAATGATATTGGGATAAAAACTGACCTCATTTCAAACCCGCCCAATAGATGTATGAGATTTTCAATGATTGCCTATGAACCAAAAAATTTTTAGGAGGGTCACTCGGTCCTTCTGTAGTCAACACATCGGTGTCTATTTTGTATGCCTATTCTGTTGTCTTTTTGCTGTTTGTACACAATAATATTATTGCATTTTCACATCGTTGTTTGTTTCCCTTTATTTAGAAGTATAGCTGCATCATCTGCTGTCTACTTTATTGCCATATGGCTTCTGATTGCTCTCATTGAATGTAAAATGGGTTCAATATTAGTCAAACCAGATTAAAAAGCTGAAAATATGTGTTTTGGGGTTTTGTGATTAAATAAAATGTGAATGTGTCAGATATATTAAAGGAAACCTTTCCTGAGAAAGACCACAACGCCTGGCACTGTTGACCTTCTCCTTTGAACATACTAGTTGCCTACTATTTTCAGTCATGCTGATCCACTGGCTGTAATACTTTGAGTCATTGACCCAGACAAAGTATTCAGGTCAGAAACCCTAGTGTACATACCTGTTAGTGACTGAAAGCCAATAGGTCAGTATAACAGCCAGACAACTAGCTTTTTCTGGAGGCATTCAGAAATCTTAGCCCTGTATTTAACCTCTGTAAGGGTTTATTATGAATCTTATATGCCTGTGGGGATCAATTTCATCATCTCGTTCCTTCTCTTGTCAGCTGTGTCTTTGGTTAAATTTAAAGAGTATGTGTATGTCCAGATTCTGTCCTGTATTAGGGACCTGTATTGGGTTGTGATATGACGAGGCTGTGCCTAGATTCTGTGTTTGAGCCTGTTGTAGGTTGCCAGGGCCAAGATTCTGTACCTGGCCCTGTAATTGGATGTGATATGAGGGCCAACGTCTAGGTTCTGTACCTTTTTGTAATATCCCCTTTGCACACTGTACCGTTATACCCCAGAACCTAATTAGTAATAATAACTAGTAGTTGGATATGATGGACCTGTGACCGAATTCTGTACCTGGTCCTGCAGTGGGGTATGATATGCACTGATTCTGCACTAGGGCACTATGTAGGATGTCATATGAAGGGCTCATATACAGATTCTGGCCCTGGCTGATGGTTAGATTTGATACAAGGGGTCTGGGTACAGTTTCTGCAGATGTGTACAAGGGTATTATACAAGGGGTCCATGTCCAGATGGTATGCCAGACTATGTAGTGGCCTGTGCTATGAGGGGTTTGTGTTCAGATGGGATCTGGTGTAGGGTGTGATACAAGGGCCCCGTGTCCATATGCTATGCTAGGATCTGTAGTGGGGTGTGAGATGATGTGCTTGTGTGCAGCCTGTGTCCCGATGCTCTAATGTGAATTGTAGAGGGGTGTTATACGAGGGGCTTGAGTCCAGATGCTGTACTTAAGTTGGTAGTGGGATGTGATATGAGAGGCTTGTGTCCAGATGCTGCTGTTCTTTTGGAACGAGATATGAGGTGCCCATATCTAGGTACTGCACTGGGATATGTAGTGAGATGTGATATGAGGGCCCCTTGTCTGGATTCAGAATCCAGACTTGTAGTGTGGTGCCTATAAGCATTGGGTCTGGTAGTTGGATGTAATACAAAGAGGAACTGTGTCATGACTCTGCACTGGGATTTCTAGCACTGTTATACTCTGTCTGGTTGGTTTAGAAATGTATTTTTTTTTTTTTTGCAGTGACCCGTCTCTGGCGATGGAGAATCGGAGCTTGGAGCTGGCACTGAGAGATGTCTACCCAGCCTGTAGCCGGCTGCGCCGCTCTGCCATAGAAAACTCCGGAAAGAACGGGCAAGACTGCCCAGAGCTGGTGGTCAGTCAGGCAGAAGGCCAGTATGTACTGTGCAGGTGGACGGATGGACTCTATTATCTGGGGAAGATAAAAAGGGTGAGTCGCTGGCAAGTCTTCAGCCATGTATTCATAGAGAAATTAGATATTTTGGTTCTTTTGGTAAAACTTCAGGCAAATGGCATGAATAATTTGCTATAGCAGGAACAAACTGTGTCTCGCATCTGAAATATCACTACCATGGGATTAGAAGCCTTAGTGCTTCACAAAGACCGGATCAGTCCTTCCTATAGAGGAACTGGTCACATTCTCCTTTTGAACTGATGACCAGTCACCTACTTGCCTTCTTGTGATTACTAACAATGGAAAGGATCATCATTTTTAAGCCTACTTGCGTTTCCGGTGTTCTCCATAGTGTGGGGATCCAGTGCCCAGCCAATCAATGCCCCCATATTATGACGGATGGCCTCATTGTTACAGCTCTGAATGGTATCGTAAGGGCAAACAGCACTTTGCCTAAGTCCACTGGTCAGGTGCCTATCACCTAAATGTGAAGCGGGGGCAGCATTTCTTGTTTGGCTATGTTTTTTAATTCTCTTCTTTTTAAGTGGGTCATTGCACAGTCACATGATTGATACATACTGGCATCTGTATTTACCTTCAGTTTTTTTGTTTTTTTTCTGGCAGGTCAGCAGTTCGAAGCACAGTTGTCTAGTGACGTTTGAAGATAACTCTAAGTACTGGGTCCTCTGGAAAGACATTCAGCATGGTGTGTATGCTGCAACTTGGCTTTGGAATCTGAGCATTTGCTGTCCACTCTGCTTCAGTTTGCAGACAGCCTCGGTTTTCTGTAACTCACAAAATTCAATTTAATTTTTCCTTGTGACAATAGAGACACTATAAATGCTGTCAATAAGCCATATTCATTTGCTGTTCTTTCGTGATATGTGTGAGCCATGGCTGTGTGCTGTGCACCATGTGCCTATTTCCTGCACAGCCATAAACAGGAATCCTGGAGGCTCTGTTTATGGCTGAAGCTGGAAGAAAATGCCTCATAAGGGTGTGTGTGTGTGTGTGTGTGTGTGTGTGGCCAACTTCATCTTCATGCCCCTGTAACTAGTTGACTACATTACCCAAAATTCTGCACAGTCTTGGGGTCATTTACAAGGTAGTATGTTGCATGGAATATGGCGTCCTTAGATTTTCTGTATTAGGAGTTTCATCTTTGGTGTGATACTTGCACAGGGTAGTATATGTCTAAAGGGCTGTGGCTCAATGTTCTCCATTACACTGAGATACATTATTTGATGATGGTAAAGACAGTCCCTCACACTCTCCACTCATTTTGAGATTTCAGCAGGTGTACATACATGGTCTATATTGGCATCTGCAGAACAGTAGCAAGTGAGGCTCTACAGTAAAGATTGATGACGTTCTTGTATTGTATGGAGCTGACGTGGATTGGATCCTTCTCCCTCGACAAATATGAAGTTTTACTTTTAATACCTGTGCTGTCTCATAATTTTGCTGATCAAGAAAATGGAAGTAAAAGTGTTGACCATAGCAGATTCCTCATAGAATAAAAAAGAAAGATTGGTTACTACGAGCAACATTTCAACTTTTATTAAATCGGCCACAATGGTTTTAGTGTTTGTTGTCGACCATTAACTTGCCGTATCTTCCACAGCTGGTGTACCTGGAGAGGAGCCGAAGTGTAATGTTTGTAGCGGGAAGAACTCTGCAGCCCACAATCAGATCCTCATCTGTGGAAAGTGTGGACTTGGTAGGTGCATTTCTCCTTTTTGAAGTCGCCACAAGAAATTGAGATTTTCAGCTACTCTTGTCAAACATGGAAAACAGAACTTCACTAACTCCAGCATTATTCCTGAAAGTGAAATGACATTGCTTATGCGGGTTCGATGTGGCACTCCTCCCATTGACCAGCAATAATCTTAATGGAGAATGGGTATAGAAATTTCTATGCACAACTCCCAGTGGGTTGTTATGAGGTATCTAAACCCAAAAACAAAATATAAATATACTGCAGCTTACCAGTCCTTGGATATGGTGGCTGCATTAGTTTCCCTTTCTTCTTCTTTTTTTTTTTTTTTTTTTTACCTGGTAATTCTGCCAGTAGCACACACTTCCTGCCCTAGTATGACAATGCTCAGCTATATCGGGACAACAGAAACAAGATGGGACTATGAAACCCTGCTGCCTATGGAACATAAGCGACCAAGGAATTGCCCACAAGTCTGTAAAGTACTGTCTTCTGTTGTAGGTAGTCATAGCAGGTCACAGATTTTACTTTTGTCCTGGAGCTGATCTTTAAAGAT